CGGCCTGCAGGGGGACCGGCGGCGGAAGGACAGGACCGCTGGGACTGGACACGGCACCGCGCCCCTCCCGGAACGCGCAGTTTACGCGAGCCCGGAGGAGCCTTCTGGGGGCGACAGCGACCAATTACCGCTCGTGGCGGCCTGATGACGGCTGGCTCTGGGGCTGGCTGCGGGGAGGGGAGAGGCCTGCTATCCAATAAGAAGCTGCCTGAAAGAGCGATGGGGCGTTGCCAAGGTAGGCTGCGCTGCGTCGGGGATGATGTCATAGCCCCGTTCTTAAAGGGAACGCTGGCAGAAGAGGGTGGACCGGGGCAGTGTGTGAGCTCCTGAAGAGACAGACGTCTTTGCCACGCTCCACCATCTCCGACCACGCTCTTTCAAGAGTAGCCCGGTGCTGGAGGAGGCAGGCCCTGATGTTTCTCGCACAGCATTTCTTAATTTTGCCTGTTTTTGAACTTTATGCAAGTGAAACCATAAGTATGCATTAATTTGCATCTGACATTTATGCATTTGTAATGTGGATCAGGGTGCAGCAGTGGGTCATGAGAGAGTTCTGAGAGATTAGATAGGAGAGACACAGCGGGGCCTATTGTTAATTCAAAGCAAAGAAAGAGCCAAAGAGTAGAATGTCTTGAGACAAGAGTAGAATGATATGAACGACTGTCTCAAAAAGAGTATTTGAGACATCTTTAGATCTCTTTGATTTGGGGAAGGAACCATAGGTAAATATGGGTGAATGAAGGAAAATTAAGTTTTTACCGTGTAAACTTTTATATTGAATTGTTTTGTTTTAAACTTGGGCATGCATATGTATCAGTTAGCTTTTGTCACTATACTGAAATATCCTAGGTGATTAATTTAGGAAAAGTTTATTTTGGTTCATGGTTCTGGAGGTTCCAGTCTGAGATTAGGTGACTTCATGGCTTTGGACTTCCGACAAGGGCAGCATATGGTAAGCCAGGAAGCAAAGATTTAGGGGTCGCTCAGCTCACTTCAAGGACACAGCCCAAATGACCTAAGGATCTCCCTCTTTCCCCTGAACACTCCTTACAGCCCTGGGGGTCCTTCGCTATTCTCAATTTTCAGAAAGCTTTTTTTTTTAAATTTTTAGTTTTGGTACCAGAGATCAAACTTGGGACCTTGTGCTTGTGAGACAGGTTGGTGGAACCACTGAGCTAAATCCCCAGCCCAGTTCCATTAAGCTTTGTTTGCATCCACTTTATGCATGGACCAGGGCAGCAGCTTTGGAGGGGCCCACAGGGTGGAAGAACTTCCTTCCCACAGATAGGCCCTGAAGAAAGGCAGAGATGATAACTCGAGGTTTCTGATGCAGCTGCCTCTCTTGACCCTAACCCCAGATACCCAGTTGCAGTGACCAACAATTTAAGAGAAGTAAGGAGCAACCAGGCATATGAATTAAATCCTGCCTACCAAATTAACTGTGAAAATGAGATGCACCGAGCGCTCCTCTTTGATCCTGTTTGGATTCTCTCTTAATACCTTTCTTGAAGTCACTCACTGAGGGGCTTAGGGTGAAGGATTGGGGTGAAGTTAGAAGCTCAGGTTTCATTTGCCACTTTTGAATAAGAATCTTATCATTCTTTTTAATCTCTGTTATTTCTCACAGATTAAAAAAAAACCAGGAACTCCTGGTTATACATTGCATTCCCTTCATTAAAATATGGCATGATAAACTACATGTATACAAACAATACAATTTGATTTTTTTTTTTTGAGTTGAGGTCTCAATATATTATTCAGATTGGTCTCAAACTCACTATCTTTCAGTCTCAGCTTCCTGAATATCTGGGATTACCAGTGTATGCCCCTATGCCTGGCTAATTTTTAGTTTTAGTTTAGTTTAGTTTAGTTTTTGGTATTGGGGGTTGAACCTTTACATGGAGCTATATCCCTGGGCTTTTTAATTTTTATTTAGAGACAGATTAGGCCAGGTTAGGCTTGAATTTGTGATCTCCTGCCTCAACCTCTCAGAGTGCTGGGATTACAGGTGTGCACCACTACACTGGCATGCCTGGCTAATTTAGTTCTGATGCTTGAATACACCCAGAAAACCATTTTCCGAATCAAGATAAAGAAGATATCTAAAAGTTTCATCGTGTGTCCTTGTAATCCCCCTTCCTCCTCTTCACTTCCAGGCAAGCATTTGCCAGCTTCCACTATGGTAGTTTAGTTGTCACTTTCTAGACTTGCATGTTAAGGGGCTGGCTTCTATGGTGTTTGCTTCTTTTGTTGTTTGGCTTCTATCATTCAGTACAGTTATGAGAGTTGCTTCATGTTGCTGGACAACATGTATATTGGTTAAGGTTCTCTAGAGGAATAGAATCCATTAAAATATATATGTAAAACTATATAGGGAGGTTTCTGAGCGTGGCTTACAGGATCAGAGGTCGGCTGGCCCCACTGGCCATCTTGGCACTGGAGAGCCAGAGAACCTAGTAGCTGCTCAGTCTAAGAAGCTGTAGTGCGAGAGGAACCAGGGATGCAGCCCTAATCCATGCTGAAAGCTTAGAGAAGAGACTCCCCGGCCAGTTACTGAGGTGTTTGCATGGAGGGTCTAAAGAAGCTGGAATGTGAGGTCCATGGCGGTGGCAGCAGTAAAAATCAGACCTGTTAAAGCAGAATTGAGCTTGCACCCCTGGCTGGCTCCCTCCTTCCATTTTTATTCCACCCTATTGCAAGTGCCCTCCATTCCGAATGGGTCCCTCTCGGTGTGATTTTTCTAATGTTAATCATCTCTGGCAATAGCACTCCACCCCCAGCTAAATATAATTGGCTAGTGTCTTTCAATCCAGTCAAGTTGACAATGGAACTACCTGGGCCTCTTTTCCAGTGAGCTTTGTTAGTTTGTGTCAGTCATGGATTTTTTCCATTTCATCCAACTTGTATTTATGGGCAAAAAGATGCCATAAAGTATCCTGATTTTCCCGTCTCTGCAGAAATGTGTACTCTCCTGTTAATATTTGTGTCATGTATCTTCCATCTTCGCTGATCAGCCTGACTACGGATAAATAAGTACAATTAATATTTTATTGATTTTTCCTTAGAGAATTAGTTTTGATGTCATTGACTTCTTTCCAAGAGTTTATGTTGTTTTAATTAATTAATTAATTAATTAATTAATTTTTCTCATAGTGTATCAGTAGGCAGCCCAGGCTGGCCTTGAAATTTCAATCTTGTTTCAACCTTCTGAGTGCTAGGATTAGGGCCTTCCATTTTTAAAGCCTTGTAACATCAAATTCGTGTGTAGTCAACTATGCTACAGAGGGGTGTATGGCCTGCAAAGCCTAAAATACTTTCTATCGGGCTCCTTACAGAACATTTGTTGACTTCTGCTTTAGACCTGGGTGACTGCATACCAACAGATTATTTTGAGCCAGGTGTGGTGACATTCACCTGTGGTCTCAGTTACTTGGGAGGCTGAGGCAGGATGATCCCTTCAATCCAGGAGTTCAAATTGTTGCTTAGACAACATAGTTAGACCTGGCCTCAAAAATCAACCATACAGCCGGGTGTGGTGGCACATGCCTGTAATCCCAGCACTGGGGAGGCTGAGGCAGGAGGATTGCTGTGAATTCAAGACCATCCTAGGCTACATAGTGAGTTCCAGGTCAGTCTCAACTACATAGTGAGACCCTGTCTCAAAAAACAAAAAACAAAACAAAAATCAACCATACAAAACAATATCACCACTCCCCACAGACAAATACAAACTAGATGTTTTCTCATACTGGATGTCTAACAAATCTTTCTGGAAATGAAAGAACTCAAGCTGAGAAAGTCTGACAACCAAGTAAAAGTAACTGGTACAAGCAACCACATGCACATAGGTCACAAAACAGCCTGGGATCTCTTCTCCTGGTGACAGGGGACAGAAGGGAAGGGAAAAGGCAAGTGACTCAAAATTCTGCCATGCAACTTTTGGTGTCACTTTTTGCCCTCAGAAGTCCCCTCCCCTCTATTGTATCTGTGAGCAGACAGAAGAGCTCTTGGGCCAGGTTGGTAAAATAATTTAGACCAGAACAAGATTAAAATGTAGGAAAAGGCCAGGTATGGAGGTGCATGCCTGCATTCCCAGCACTCAGGAGGCTGAGGCAGGAGGATCACTGTGAATGTGAGGTCAGCCTGGACTATGTAGTGAGACCCTGTTTCAAAACAAACAAACAGGGCTGGGGATGTAGATCAGTGGCACTGCACCTACCTGGCAAGCTCAAGGCCCTGAGTTCAATTCCCAGTACTGGAAAAGCAAACAAAATGCAAGAAAAAAATCTATAGAGAAAAAAGTACAGTTAAAGATGCTAACATACAAAGATATCTTCTTTAAAATAGATTTGTTAGCCAGGCATGATGGCGTACACCTGTAATCCCAGCACTCAGGAGGCTGAGGCAGGAGGATTGCTTTGAGTTTGAGACCAGCCTGGGCTACATAGTGAGCTCTATCTAGGTTAGTCTCAACTACATAATGAGACTCTGCCTCAAAAA